CCCCCCCCCCCCCCCCGGTCTTTGCCAAAAAAAAAGTTCAGGTTTTCTTTCCGGACCCCACTAGCATCCCTGTCTATTATCTGGTCCCTGATATGTCCATTTACATTTCTGCCTGTACTTTCAGTTTATGAGCATAATGTTCAACAATTTCAGTCATACTTGTTCCATATTCCTGAATACGTGTCGCTCATATGAAACATTCACTTGCAGAGTAAAATAAACCTTTAAAACTCAGACTATCGTGTCATACTCCATTTCCCCTTCAGCTTTCTGCTCTTCAGGCAGTGTGAAATAAATATCCTGCATCCATAATCCCGCTGAATGCAGTAGCAGGGCTTTCTTCTGGCCGGCAAGTGTAACTCCCTTGCCGTCTGCAAGGTTAAGGCACGAATCCACCATTTACACCTTGTGCCAACATTTGCCATGTCATCACAATCCAATGGCTGGAACCCCATGTTCCCTTTGGTTAGCGGTCTCGTGTTTATCCTTGTCGCAATTTATGTACTCTCGAGAGGATGTATGTCATTAAATACAGGCTCCAAGCCTAAGGAAAACATAACACCGAACTTTCCGCTTCCACACTTTATTCCTGTAACTCCATACACTGTTATGGGCATGGGTGACTTGAAAGTGACCTTAAGCCTAAAATACATACATACACTACACTGTAGTGTCCATTTTTCAGTAATTGATATTTTCTTTTCAGAAAATTCACTCATAACAAAGGTGTCAATACATGTGTACAGTGTCTGCATATAATAAGTGGTTTCTAAAATATTTTAGCACCAAAAAATTCCTTTTTATCATAGCACTTTCCAAGCATGCATCTAATATCCCAAGCACTTGGCCATTGACTGGCCTTGTATTGGAGGCATGCCTTTACTGCCAGTCCCAACTTATTGTTCGCCACCTTCTGTATGGCCTCTGGCAACTCTTCTTGAAGCTGTAACATTAAAATTTGAACTTCATCTGATCCCTTAGGCCACACATGTCCTACTAAAACATGCAGGATGGTGCAGCCCAGGGACCAGATATCACAGGATGGTTGATCTTTTAAATTGCTGTTCTTGCACAGCTCTGGAGCCCTGTAAAGGGGAGTCCCAGGTCCTTTCCCCCCTCCTACTGTGGTTCTTTTGGTGGCCTCACTGCGCAGTTTTTCCTTTAATCTTGACACACCAAAATCTGTGAAAAAAAAGGTGGTTAACATTAGTAAATTGATCACAGAATGAAGCAAAATAAATTCAAGAAAATTTATTAAACTGAAATTAATATGTCTGCTTTTATCAATAAGGAAAATGAGTAAATTGGCAGTCAATAATTGAATTGGCTATGGAAACGCAACCTTTGGGGTGGGGTGGGGAGTTGTTCCGTAAAGTGCTGTTTTTTGACATTATCTACTTAGGCACTACACTGCATCTCACTTAGGGCACGCACATCAGTATAGTAGCAAATAATCTTCAAAATATTATCATATATATTTTCTAGATTTCAGAGTATTGGATGGTCTGTTTCAATTTTAAACATGCTCATTACAGTGAGCCCATATATTTCATTTTAATTTCCCCCGGCCTTGCTAGACCTCCGCTCTTCTCAATGTGAATGCTCTCATGGATTGGTGTG